TCATCTTCTCTGTCAGGCTTCTGGATTACCTGTTCCTCGGGGAGGAAACCCTGACTCCCACTCCACTTTCAGCTGGTACGCACACCTTGTTACTAGGACTTCAGGCAGCTCAGGGGCTCCCTCTACTGGTAGTTAAGCCAGGACTCTGTTACGTAATCTGAGTACTTTTTATTGACCCAGTCCAGGGAGTCTTTGGGGAATGTGAGTATAGAACAGATACGGTCTTCGCAGTGAAGAGATGACGATTTCTATATACATATTGCTGGAATACAAGGTGGGGATGGGTGAGCGCTAGGAAAAGGGAACAGAGAAAATTCTTTTGTTGTTGAGAAGTCGGAGTTTAATCACAGCTGGGGAATTAGGAAAGGCGGTGTGGAAGATTTGACATTTATCTGGCTCTGAATGAGTGAGACCGGGCTTTGTGGCGGTTCACAGATAGGGTGGGCGGAGGGTGAGCATCTCTGCTGGAGGGGATGGTGCTGGCCGAGGCGTGCTGGCAAGGAGGGCAGGGAAATGTGAAAAACTGGGGGGTTGGTCTCAGTTTAATTGGAGGAGAACAGGACCTGTGAAATGGGAGAGTTCCCTTAGGGTCAGGACGGCCTTTTCCAGCCTTGGTAGCGGTGAGGAAGATGGTTGGGAGAGGGAAGAAAGTTGAATAAGAGGGTCATTTAGATTCCATGTGTTGGCCACGGCTCCAGGGTGGAAAGTCGCAGAGAAGTGGCCAGAATCCAGATTCCAGATCCTTCCGCAGCCACTGCCACGAGTCCTGGAAGTTCACAGAGGTTGCTCCCTGCCAGTCCACCCCCTTCTTCCTAAGTGACGTTTTCCCAGGCTCTGGCACGGTCTGCTTCATGAAGGGCTACCAGGGCTTCTTTAGTCTGGTCCACAGGCCGGCCTCAGAGCTACACTTGACTCTCAGCCTCCCGTGTCCCCTCTCCCGGCGCCAGTTGTGAAGAAGCGCAGACCAGTGAGAAAGAACCGAAGGGAAGGGTTTGCACCTTCCTCTGTGGTACAACTCCTCCAGCCCCCACCCACCTGCTCGAGTGTCTGCCTCAGTCCAGCAGGAGACACGCTACCACCTTACTGCACTGGTCCTCTGGGAGCAGATGCACTTCCCAGATACTACATCTCAAGAGAAATCAGGAAAAAATTCCAAGCTAGAACTTGTTTTCTAGGTTTAGAACTGAAGCCTTTTCATTCCGCATACTGAAAGCTCTGCCCAAGTCTTGGCACCAAGGTCCCCAGGATGGTGCCTGTACCCGGTGCTGGCATTCAGGAAAGACTGGGCTGAGCAGCCTGTGTTGCCTCTGCTTGTGAGAAGGGTGGGATCGGAGGGGCAGAGGACGGGGGGCGCGGCGGGGCGGGGGGTGGCTGAAGTGAGAGACTGTGGAGGTCAAATCATCGAGACAGAGGAAAGAGTCACCCAGGGTTTGAGCCCTGACCGCCCTCGCCTTCTTGCTGTCACCACTTAGATGCCTGTCTGGCAAGTACCTCCGACTCTTCATGTCCCAAGCAGAACTCCTGGTCTCATCTCCTGTCCAGCCAGCTCCCCGCACAGCCTCCCTTCCCGACGGTGCCGACTTCTCGTGGCTCAGGCCAGGAACCTTGGAGTCACCCTTGATTCTCCCGTGCCTTTCACACCTCAGATCCAGTCCTTCAGGAAACCCCAGAGGCTTTCCAGTCAGTCCAGCCTGACGCGTCTGTCCTCCCACCTGCGCGGCCACCATCCTGGTCTAAACCATCTGTCACCCGCATCACGGTCAGAGCTCCCTGCCCGGGTCTTTCCCTGCCTGCCACTGCTATTCTAAACTGAATAACTAGAATGGTCCTTCAACAATAGGAGTCCGATCTTGTCACTTCTCCGCTTCAACCGCGAGTGGCTTTTGTGCTATCTCCAGAGTAAAGGCCAAGTCCTTACAGTGGCCCTCATGCGCCCACAATATCTGGCCCTCCCACCCCCATCCCCTCCCTCAGCTGCTCTGTCCCTGTCCTCACCGACACTCGCCTCCAGCCACACGTTAGTTACTCCCCATGTCGCTCAGGCACGCTCCTGCCTTGTGGCCTTCGCACGAGCTCCTCCGTCCATCTGGAGCGCTCTTCCACGTGTCCACAGGGCTCACCCTCCCCCATGTAATACTGACCTTAGGAGGCTGTAATCTGTTTTGATTTGGTGTCATGGAGATTATCCGCGGCTCAGAGCAGAGAAACAGATCCTTTTATGGAATCCTGTAGGCCTTTCTTGTCTACTGATTAACGAGAATGAAACTGCTGTTGGCTTTTAAAGACAACTGGGACTGCACAGAAGTGTGTGTGGTGCATTTCACATTTCAACCAAGGAGCACATTTTTGTGTGGGGCAGCGCATGAAGGTCAGGCTGGCTGTGATGGGTTCACTGATTCGCCATATGCAAGGTTTGTAATTCTCCGTTCAGTGACGGTTGCAGACATTCTTATTTAAAAGATCAGTGCAAATTGTGTTCAAGGAATAATTTGTTAATACATGTCTCAAAGTTCAGTAATTTTGAGCCTCAATTATGCCGTTAAACCTAAAATATATAAATGAATAACACATCTATAGTTTCTCTGTTTTAGCTGATTCATTTGTTCTTTGGGTTTTTAACCTCTTTATTTTCACATTAATCTTCAAAAGATTTTGCTATAAAAATAGCAGATTTGGTAGACAACATGGGTTTTGAGACCAGAGGACATTCATTTTAGTTTGAGGTTTACCTTACTGGTGATTATTAGTATGGAGAAGTTATTTAATGTTTGTCTCCCCAAAGTGAAAATTTTAGTCCTGCTCATTGGGTTGTTGCTAGGATCAGATGTGGTCACGTATTGGCTCTGGGTAATTGTTGGCTGCCATTTGGAATATCATTTCCCACTGGACGCGGAAGAGTACACCAGTGTTTTGGGATCGTTCAGGGTTCAGGAAAACATCTTTAATGGCTTTGAAAGCAAAACTACTGCTTATAACTGACTGCTGCAGGACCCATTTTTTGTTTCTGTTTTAAAAATTTTGGTGGAAAACACATCTTTATTCTTTCCACTGTCCACCCCACACCCCCATGCCCAGAGTCCATGGAAACCCACAGTTTGTTCTCTCCTCCCTTCGTCCAGCCCCCACACGTAAATATGCACACATTTACTTAGGTGTTTGCTCAGTGCATTGATGTGATGGGCAGAAATAAAGATGGAACTTGTCTTCCATTGAGGAGCTTATCCCTGGAGGAGCTCACCACTTTTTCAGTTTAGACCAGATTCGATTGAGTACAACTTTTATTCAGCTTCTACCATGTGCCAGACACTTTGCTGGACTTGGGGACTTGAAACTGTAAAAGAAGTGGGTCTAACTCTTGGGGAGAACAGACAGAAACCTAGGGTTGCTCTGTGTCGGGATGCATTTCGTGACAGAAGTACATGTATGCCACTGCTGGGTGGTGATTATTATCTTGATGTCCTTGGGGAAGTGGGGGAAGGTGGCAGTGCTGGGTGTGAGCCCACTCACACGTGGACCTGCTTCCCAACCGTGCCCTGTTCTGTGATCACTGTTCCATTTAGGGGCATAAAACTGGCCAGACGATTAGTTAAGTGTGTTCTCTGGACTTTGAGGAGAAAGCCCAATGTCAAATACTCTGCCGTAGTCAGGCTCTGCATCTCATTTTTTGTTTGGGAAACAAAAGCCAATACACAGGGACAGGGAAGCATAAAATGGCATGTTAATTATTTTGAAATATTGGCCAGATTTGTTTTGGAGGCAAGGGAACAGGTTGGAGGTCATGGGCAAGAGAAGAGCTAAGGGGTGGGGTGTACGGCAATTGGGTGCCAGCCAGATGGACCTGCGGGCAGTTTCCAGCATGGTGCTTAGTCAGCCTGCTTCCTCCCAGCTCTTGCCCTCCTTGTGTTCTTCTGTCTCATTAAATATCACATATATTCACAGAGTGCTCACTGTGTGCTGCACGCTGCCCCCTGATAGTTAAACAGGAGTGTATGCCCTGCTGTCCAGGCGTGTCTCTTATTGGGCAGGACACATAGATTTGAATCATAGGATCAACAACTAGAATTGAACATGGGGGAAGGGACCCTAGGGGTTGTCATCTGTTTGTTTCACTTTACTGATCCGGAGTCTGGGCCCAGAAAGGCTGTGTGACTCTGCTCAGGCATTACATCAAGTTTTCCTTCTGCTGTACTCCAGTGACTGCCTGTCCTCCCTGCCACGATCCCGTGCAGATAGGCTCCTGTTATAAGGATCCCCCCCCACCCTCCTCCCTCTTTCTTCCCTCCCTGGAACTTCCTTCCTTCCTGGCTCTGTCCTAGGGCAGCTGGAGAGGGGGTAAGACAAAAGTCTTGCCCTCAGGAGCATTTGCTTTAGAGAGCCAGTAGCAAAGAAGCAACATCTGCCGTCTAGACAAAGCAGGGAAGGGCTGGGGATGGGATTGCGGGTGTAAGCACTGTGGTGAGAGGTCAGACCTCTCTGGAGGAGGTGGCATTTGAAGAGGGAGCTGAGGAGATGTGAACAGGGTGCTCACGTAAGGGGAGGGAGACCCGGCCAGCGGCAGCATAAGGAACAGTGCTCTGTGCTCCAGAAACCTCTTGACATTGATGGAGGTCAAGGGTCTGCACACTGCCAGTGCGTATTCATTTGGGAAGGCTGAAAGAAGCAGTGAAGGACCTCAGTCTGGTGCCCGAGGTGCTTGTTATGGGCTTAAGTTGGTCTTTAGACATGTTGGTGGGAAGCATCCTGTGTGACCTGAAACTCAAGGTGTGAGGAGTAGCGACCAGAGTCAGGTTATGGGACCCCTTTGCTTTAGTCATGGGCCACCCAGAACAGCAAGGCCATTCTTCTCCCTCTTGGACTCTCCCTGTTGCTTTCACAAAACTTCAGATACTTTTCAGTGAAGTAGTGAAGTGGGCCCAGGAGAATCCCATGTTGTAACGCGCCGTACCATGTGAGACTTCTCAGCGGAAAAGCCTATAGATGATCTCGCCTTTCCGTTTCAGACGGCCCATCTGAGGGTACTGACCTTAAGGACGCCTATCTCATCCCAAGAAACATCATGGCTGAGCCAGACTACATAGAAGATGACAATCCTGAACTAATTAGGCCTCAGAAACTAGTCAATCCTGTAAAAACGTCCCGCAACCATCAGGATCTTCACAGAGAACTTCTCATGAATCAAAAAAGGTACAGTGATTTCTTGAGCTAAGTTTTCCTTTGGGGACTTTGACTTAAGAGATTTTTTTCTTTTCTTGACTGTATTTAAGGCTGCCTTATTCCTTCTAGTGTGAGCCAGGGCATCCCTCCATGAAGTCAGGTCATCTGCAGGTACAGTCGCCACTGCCGCTCTTACTCCGTGGGCTACAGAACTCTGTCCCCTTCTCAAGTGGACATGTGTTGTAGAATTTGGATGGAAGGGTGTCGATTAAGTATGAAAGAGAGTATCCTAAGTCAAAAAGAAATACATTATTTCTTGGATTTGTAAAAATTCTGAATTTGCCCCTTACATTTGGGGAAGTGTGGGAATCCAAGGTAAATACTGCCGGCTTTGGCATTTTTGAGTGGCAGGGAGAAGTGTCTAGAACTACCTCAACTTAATAATAGACAAGAGCTCTCTCTCTCTTTTTTTTAAGTAACATTTAAAATTATTACTATGATCATTTTTATTATTTTTTTGGAGGGGAGAAAACATTTACCTTTTTATCTTCTTTGTAGACCATTTGTTGGTGCCCATAAACATGTTTATCTGTTGGGTTGATAGAGTCTGCTTTTTAAGTAATTTTGGGCAGGGCCAGTTGACTAGGAGAGCTCGGGACACAAAGTTACTTATATTATTTAAGACCTATTGAGCTCCCCTGAGAGCTCTTCCCATTTCTTCAGAATGAAGCTATTGATCTGAATTGTTGGACTACAGGTCGATCATACCCCCCCTCTTTGCCAAGCCCTCGTTAGCTCTCATTGAACTGAAGGGTATATAGACCAAGTTAAGCGGTAGGGTCATGTTTTAGAGGGGAGGCCTAATTTAAATATAAAAGTAAAAACATTTAAAGAGGTGATGAGGGAGCAGTCCTCCTTCCCTAGTGCACCCCTGGATAACTCATAACTCCTGTTGAGGAATTCAATGTGAATCCGTCGTTCCTCCAGGCCGGGAATGTGCCTTACTGCCTTTTTGTTACCAGCATGCACTAGTATGCTGTTGGATTCATGCTGATTAAATTGGATGCAAGTTTGATCCCTTCTGAACAAGTGCTTAGCTTCTAACTGTCTTTGTGACATAAAAGAAAAAAAAATACATAGATTTGGTATCATCATGCCCAAAGCAAAACAGGAACATGTATGTTCCTAAATAGGGCCACAGAATTTGGAGGCAGTCTTGCCTGGGAAATGATGCCTGCATTTTGGTAGGAGGATCAGAAGTTTGATGTAGGGGCCCCTGGGTGGCTCAGTCAGTTAAGTGTCTGCCTTCGGCTCAGGTCATGATCTCAGGGTCCTGGGATCGAGCCCTGTGTCGGGCTCCCTGCTCAGCAGGGAGCCTGCTTCTCCCTCTGCCTGTAGCTCCCCCTGCTTGTGCTCTCTCTCTCCCTTTGACAATGAGTAAATAAAATCTTTAAAAAAAGTTTGTACTCCAAAAGAGTAGCAGTCGCCACTAACTAGCTTTCTGATTGTCTTCCTTCTTGCACCTCCATTCCCTTATCTGTAAAATGGGAGTAGGGGGCATCTCTGAGGGACATTCTAGCTCAAACTGGGTTTTGTTTTTCTGTTATATCTCTGAAAAGGCTCCAAGTCAGAATAGAGGCAAAGGTGAAACCAAAATGGGCAGAAAACTGTACTCTGAATTATAGGCTACAAATTATTCCACAAAAATATATTTAGCACCCTGGGTTATATCTCTAAAACATACAGGTTTGTATAATTGAATCTGTTGCCAGATTTTCTAGAATAGGCACTTTCTGTGAAAATGGACCTCCCTTCTGTCTGATTTTCTCTGGCCCATGATTTCTTTTCCTTATTACACAGCTGACTCTTCAGTCAGGCCCAGCTCAAGTAATTTGGGAGAATGCTGTGTTCCCTCGAGTACCATAGTGCAGAGAGGATGTCCTTTGAGCTTAGAGGGAAATCATCTAAGTCCTGGTTTGCCGTTTATCTTGACCTACCTTTATGACCTTGGACAAGGTCCCCCTTCCTGAGATACGTGTCTTCATCTATAAAGTGGGAGATGAAAATACTCTTCTTCTAAAACTTAAATAATAACATGTATGAGTACCTACTAAAATGACTGCTGTATAATAAATGCTCAATTAGTCCCATCCATGTTCCACTTCCCGTGGAGCATCATCAGAAGATTCCTATTGCTTTTCCCCATTTTTCCCTGAAGGGTGCTGGCCTGGCTTTTGAAGTACATCAAGAGGAGAAAAAAATAAGAAAGAAAAGGCAGGAAGAAGGCAGGTTTCAAAATCAAATGAATATATCTCATCCTATGTTTTGGGGTTTTCAAGATAAGGTCTTAGTTTAGTGGGGTCCTCTCATTAGAAATACAGCTGGTTTGTGGAGTGAAACCTCTCAAGCAGTTTTTTTTTTCTTTTATTCATCTTCCATTGTACATACTTGCTAGAGACTGTGGGGTTTTTATTTCTAAATTTTCATGCCAAAGGACAGGAAGTTTCACATGGATAATATGTATGTTTGGTTAAAGGATAATTGTACTTGATTACTGGTTTGTATCGTAACAAAAGTCTGCTTGTTTTTTTTTTTTTTTGTAATTTGTAAAGGGCCGTCCTGTATTTTATCTTATCCAGTGATCTTTCCAGTAATCCAGTGTGTGTTATCTTGGGGTCACCCTTATTTGACATGTAAATAAGAGAAAACTCAGAGAATAAACATAAAATTCAAGGTAGTTCATACAAATAAATCAAGCAGAGTAATAATATCAGTCAGAAACAAAGCAGAGAAGAGAGAGGGAGACAGCAGCGAGATCCACATGAAGCAAGTGTTCTGTGGAGCCCTGTACCTTTGCTCTACAGAGGCACGAATTTGGCTCAAAGCCCTGGAGCAGTTGGTTCACAGAGCTTCTCAGGTTACATTTTATTTTTTATTATTTTATTTTTATTTTTTTTATTACATTCAACTAGCCAGCATATAGTACATCATTAGTTTTTTTTTTTTTTAAGATTTATTTATTTATTTATTTGAGAGAGAGAGAATGAGAGAGAGAGAGCACGAGAGGGAAGAGGGTCACAGGGAGAAGCAGACTCCCCGCTGAGCAGGGAGCCCGATGCGGGACTCGATCCCGGGACTCCAGGATCATGACCTGAGCCGAAGGCAGTCGCTTAACCAACTGAGCCACCCAGGCGCCCACATCATTAGTTTTTGATGTCATGTTCAGCCATTCATTAGTTGCGTATAACACCCAGTGCTCATCACCACACGTGCCCTCCTTAATGTCCGTCACCCAGTTACCCCGTCCCCCCACCCCCTCCCTTCTGTAACCCGCAGTTTGGTTCCCGGAGTGCAGAGTCTCTCCTGGTTTGTGTCCCTCTCTGATTTCTTCCCACTCAATTTTCCCTCCCTTCCTGCCCCTGTGGTCGTCCATGCTATTTTAGAGATCATAAGATAAAAGCAGAGTCACTGCTTAGGAGAACAAATACTCATAGGTATTTTAACTCCGAAACCTACACACTTTGAAGGATATAACTCTGCTCCTCTACTTAGCATCTTTTGGACCTAGCCAAGTTTCAGATTAAAAGTCTACATTTTGAGCTGGTTACAGTCTGCCATTAGGTGTGATTATGAGGACCGTTGGTCAGGTTCTCCAGTTCTGTAGGTGCTCCCAGGGGCATTATTTCAAGAGACATTATTTTTTGTAGTTGCAAGATGAGCATTCAAGAGGTTTTAAAAATATAGGGATATTTCTGATATAACTTAGAGAGATTCTGTCTTCTCTACAAAGAGTTCTTTTGGCCACAAATAGAGAATACCCAGTCACTTAAACACATCCCTAAAATTAGTTCTTTGGCTTATACCTTCCAGTCAGTGATTTCCACTTCCCTGTGTTTTTAGTTGCTCTTCATTGTATATGCTTTGCTAGACATAGAGTTCTTCAATAATGTACTTGTTGCTCTACCATGTGGGGAAAAATACGGGAAGCTGAGTTAGAAGTATTTGCATTTAGAATCCCTGCAGGTAGAAATGGCTCAAGCCAAAAATGTAGATAAGACAGGCCATAACAGAAGATTCCAAGATTAAAGAAAGGGCTGGAAATCCAAAGGCAACCCTCCCCCTCCACCCTAAGAAAAAAATTGGGCCAGAAGATGTTTGGCTGGGTGGGTGGGGAGCTGTTCTTAGGGTGGAGGCGGAGGGAACGTAGACCCTTCTTTCACCTTTGTGGGCCTGATGCATCTGGCGTGGAGGCGGAGTGAATGTAGACCCTTCCAGGCGGCCGCTGGGTGTATTCACTGGTTTCTGTGAAAGGTAAAATGTAACTTTAAAAGTTGTCTGGGGGCGCCTGGGTGGCTCAGTCGGTTAAGCGTCTGCCTTCGGCTCAGGTCATGATCCCAGGGTCCTGGGATTGAGTCCCACATCGGGCTCCCTGCTCAGTGGGGAGCCTGCTTCTCCCTCTGCCTGCCGCTCCCCCTGCTTGTGCTCTTTCTGTCTCTTCTCTCTCAGACAAATAAATAAATAAAATCTTTTAAAAAAAAATAAAAAAAATAAAAGTTGTCTGTACATTTCCTCACTGGTGGTGGAAATATAAATTGTTGCAGGCTTTTTTGGAGGGCAGTTTGGCAATACCCATCAAAATATAAAATGTGTAGAAGCTTAGCCAGCAGTTCGACTTCTGTGAATCTAGCCAACAGAAATACTTACATAAAAGTGTAAGTGTACATGTACAAGGAAGTTCATTGCCTCATTGCTTTTAATAAGGAACGATTGGAAACAACCTAGATGTCTGTCAGAGGAGCGGGAAGATTATGGCACTTCTGTACTGTGAGGTCTTGGGCAGTTGTTGGGAAGAATGGGGACGAGCTCTGCAAGGGCTGTAGAAGGTTTGGAAGAGCATAGACCAAACTCTTAGTTATCTCTGGGTATGGGAATGGGAAGCATCCACATAGAATACAGTGTAGGTGGTGCTCCCAAGATCTGTTTAACAGGAGGAGTTTGGGTGTGCTTTACCTTTTATTTTACATATACGTATATGTCACCTAACCTGTTATTTTGTAAAGAGCACATATTAATTTTTTTAAATTTATTTTAGAGAAGGGGGAGGGGCAGAGGGAGAGGGAAAGAGAAACTTAAGCGGACTCCATGCTGAGCAGGGATCCTGACGTGGGGCTCGATCCCACGACCCCGACGATCTGAGCCAAAACCAAGAGTCAGACGCTTGACCAGCTGCTCCGCCCAGGCACCTCTGGAGCATGTATTAATTTTTAAAATTGTCTTGGCCTTCTGATTTAACAGTTACTCAGATGACTCCTAGATGCTGAAACACATTGGTTGATTGACATAGTTTAGGGAACAAACCACTCATCAGGCCACAACCACAGGAAGCCGACTCAGAAATAACTGTTGGTGTTGAGTGGTTCAAAGCCACTAGGACTTGAGCGCCTGTCAGTCATAAAGGAGTTGAAATACTTGTTAATTATATATGTCACAATTGATTAATGCGAATCAGCTGTTAACCACACATAGAATGACACTGTAGTCTTTATGAGATTTGGAGAGGCTCATTTCTGTCTTTGGTCACTCTTTGTAATCTGATCCAGTTTTTGACTCAGAATCATATGGGTAGTGCTTGACTTTTTCCATTCAGCACAGAAAGTGAAGTGATCTGTTGTGATAAAATATTAACTAAATTTGTATGACTTTTTGACTGCTGTTAAGTGCAGAACATTTATCAGATAAGCACCATTTTCCTGAGCCTTCTGTGACTAAATATTTTATCTTACTGCCACCATTGTGTAAAATCTTTGACTAGAAAATGAATACTGGATATTAGTTAAACCCATTCATAGGCTGCAACAGAGTGTCAGCTTAGTGTTCATACATCAAAGTTTGTTCAACAGCCTTTGCATAATCCAGAAGAATTTAATAACCGTTGAGGTTAATTTTGTCAGTGAAATAAAGGGAAAGGAAAATGTTTGAAGTTTAAATTATGCAGGTAGCTAAATTCTTAATCCTAAAATTTAAATCCCTTAATTCTGTCTGTGCTATCGTACTGAGGCATTTTAATAATCATGAAACAGAGCAGGTCTTTACTCAGATTATTTACAAACAAATTTTCCTACATTTGTTGTGAGCAAAGTACCATAAGCAGTTTTTATTGCACATGATATTTAATTTCCAAGATCGTCTGTCCATATTTCTGTTGACATCATAAGAGCTTAGTAACTGCAAAACAACCTGTAACTAAATTATAAAAGTTACACATGTCTTTTGCTTCTTTTATTTTGGCTGAATTTTAATATTTTTCTTTCTTTTTTATCAAAAGTTCTAATGAAAATTGGGAAAGTGGAGACATATATTATTTTGACTATCCTTTATCTGTAGTGATGGAATATACTGATCTTTGGTCTGTAAACAACAACTTTGAAAAATTTGTGATTTAAAAAAAATGTAGATAGAAGAGATGCCAGAATTTTGTAAAAATTATAGTTAGATAAATGAAGAAGTGTGAAATTGCGGATTCATTCACAGATGTCATAGTGTGAGCTTGAAAGAACATTGAGATGAGTGTGTTGTTGAGTTTCTTACAACCAGAGCACACACTTTGGAAATTGTTGTTAGATTTAACAGTTACTCAGATGACTCCTAGATGCTGAGACACATTGGTTGATTTGACATAGTTTAGGGAACAACCACTCATCAGGAACGTCTGATTTATAGACTAGCAGTCACCATCAGCAGGACCAGAAGGTGCATGGGAAGGTGCCTGGGCCAGTCTCAGTCCTGGGTGGATTCAGCAGGGCCCTTCCTGCTGCCCAGAAAAGCCTGGTCCCTGTGGGGTCAAGTATGCACGTGTATGGATGCATGAGACTGAATATGCCCACCATCGCTTAATGCCCTGTGTTGCCTGCCAAAAAACTGACAGTGTTCTTCCTGTTTTGTGGTTCCATTTTTATTTTAAATGCTCTTAGTAAATGTTAATACCAAATTGAGATGATTTAAGAGCTAGGAGAGACTTGTCACAGAGAAAGGGACGACAGGAGGAGATAGGCTGGCAAAGCCAGCACCTTGAAAGCCTGGACTGGAGAAATCTTAAGGAAATGGTAGAAAACTAGAGACAAGGAGAGTCCTAGCTAACAGTTAAACATGACATTCCATCCAAGGAGATGCCTTTGACTTACTTCAGAGATTTTGGGTGGAGGGTTGCTAGTGAATGGTCTAAGTTTTGGCTTTGTTTCTCCCCATCTCCAGAGATGGCAGCCTAATTTCTCTCTCAGAAATGTAGAACTTCCTTGCGGCCTGACGGCCGTGCATGGTCAGCAGTAAAGAGCACATCTGAAGGGATTCCACCGCGAGGGGCACTGGCAGTCTCCGGAGCAGCGTTCCCCGTGGGCCATGTGCCCCCAGGGGTTGGTGACATCTCAGACGTACTGTACATACTCAAGAGCCCTCCGACAAATCTGAGAATTTTGGAAGAGGAGTCCACGGCCATTATGCTGTTTAAATTTCTGTACTAGCCTGTCTCTGGCTACTTTTACACATGGGATCAGGGGCTCCATGTTGGGAGGCTTCCCCTAAAACTTCAAGTGGAGGCGCCTCGTACTCTGCTCATCGCCATCATCTCCACCTCCGCCGTCTTCTTCTCCATCTCCACCATCATCAGCATGAGCGACCATAATACCCATTGAACGAGCATGCTGTTCCGACCTTCCCCACCCAAACCATTCTCACTAACCTCTGTATAGGCCAGTATCTGGCACATAGTAGGTGCTCGACACATTTTTATTGAGTGAGTGGATTTTGCGTACTCTTGGAAGGTGTTCTTGCCCTTTCTTTCATGCTCGTGAATTTCTGATACCACCTGTGTTGACTCACTGGTGGTAGGCATCACAGTAATGCTAATTTAGTAGTCTCGTTTTCTGTGGCTGATACCTTAAATTTCTGTTTATGAAGGATGTGTCCATTAGATTAAAACTTTGTTTTCTTCTCCCTTTTTTTTTTTTTAGTTTGAGACATTCTAATTTTGTTCTTATTTATCTGTTTTTTTTTGCAGGGGTCTTGCCCCTCAGAACAAGCCAGAATTGCAAAAAGTGATGGAAAAGAGAAAACGAGATCAAGTAATAAAGCAGAAAGAAGAAGAAGCACAAAAGAAGAAATCTGACTTGGAAATAGAACTATTAAAACGGCAGCAGAAGCTGGAGCAGGTAAGAGTGATGGGGATGAAAGTTGTCTTTTTCCTTTATTGAGATATATTTGACATTCAGTATTGTGTAAGTTGAAGGCGAACAATGTGTTGGCTTGGTACATTTTTACTGAGGTATGTTTGGCCCTGAGGCTTAGCTAGCACCTCTGTCACATCACAGAGTTACATTTCTTCTGGTTCTGGGAACAGTGAAGATCTAGTCACTTAGCAAGTTGAACGTCCATAGTATAGCTTCGTTGACTGTAACAACTGTCCTGTGTATTAGGTCTCCAGGACTTCTGTATCTACTGGCTGCAAGTACATACACTTAAACAGCATCTCTCCCATTTCCCCAGCCCCTGGGAGCCACCATTTTACTCTCTGCTTTTACAATTTTGGGGCTTTTTTAGATTCCACATACGAGAGAGATCATGCAGTATTTGTCTTTCTCTGTTTGACTCAACTCAAAAGTTACCTTTTCTGTCCTGAGAAATAAGGATGTTGGAACAAGCAGAATTTGCCAGACCTATCAGATGTAAGTGTTTATTGTACAAAAGGAAAATAAGAGACAGGGTGTCAGCAAATGGGCTAAAATACATTCAAGGTAAAGACAAGGATTCTACTGAGGACTCAGAAAAGATTCAGGAGGCAAAGCCCAAACTGGGGAGTATCCCTGAACTCACTGCAGAGTGTTGGGAGCACAAGCAATTGAGTGAAATTCAACTTCACTGAAACTGCATGCAGAGCCGACTATGCATTGGTCTCAGGATCTTGTTTCCTTGGCCTTGATTTTGGGCTCTCATCGTCTGTGCTGTTGCTGGTAGTACCGACCAGGGGGTTGCTGCCCCTGTACAGGACGGCCACACGGCCCGTACGCATATGCACATGTGTACACGTAAGATGGAGACCAGGAGCGAATGTCTTCCCCTGGGGGATAGAAGGTGTTAGGGACTTTGGAAAGTGAAGGAATGTTTTGGAAAGCCTCTCAGTATGTAAATAATTTTCCTGTTTCTGAATTTCATTTAGCTTGAACTTGAGAAACAGAAATTGCAAGAAGAACAAGAAAATGCCCCAGAGTTTGTGAAGGTTAAAGGCAATCTCAGGAGAACAGGCCAAGAAGTGGCCCAAGCGCAGGAGTCGTAGGCCCTGGCGACAGAGACCGCGCGCCCAGCCCACCACGCGGGGAAGCTGCGAGCAGGCGCCTCCTCAACCAATGCTTGATCTCAGGGCCAAAGCCCCTGGAGAGAACCCCAGCCAGCAGAGAATTGTTACTTTAAAAAGGATTTGGTTTTGGTTTTCCTACAATCCGGGTGGATAAATGATCTGTGACAGTTGCAATTCCTATTCGCCAAACGAAGGATGTTGACCAGCACTTAAGTTGGCATAAGTGAACCTGTGTTCAAAGACTTTAAAAAAAAAAAAAAAAAAAAAACCCACAACAGCAAAAAAGAAAGAGGACACTGGAATAAATTCTAGAGAGTTGCACTACTTGGTTTTCCTTCCAGGCCAAGTTTAATGGGGCACAGAGCCTTTTTTCTTCTAAAATCTAAAGAAAATGTGTTTTGTTTCTTCCTTTAGTTATCTATTAGATAATTTAGATCACATAGGACGTTGTTTGACCTGTTAACATCCAGCATTTGTAAAATCCTTTTTGAGAATCTAGAATTTTCTTGTTCCATTTTACTTTCACCTGTGTTATATTGACACCCAAGAGCGTTAATGTTGAACACAGCTGTTACCTTTTTTGACATTAAGATTCAGAAATAGGGTGAGAAGGTTTAAAAATATGGGAAAAAAATACATGTAAAAGATAAAGAAAAACACGTAAGTGTTCATCTTGATCTTATTTTAGTTCCTTTTGGTTCTCTGATATTAGAATGTGCTATGGTGACATTCCAGTTCGGAGAAGGCACATCATACAAATCCACCTATTGCTTTGATAACTGTTAGAATTTTGTTTTGTTTGGTTTTTGAATTTCTTGCTGAGCTAATCCTTTTATATGAAACAGTCTCCCAGTCCTTCGGAGAAGAAAAACTAGTCCATATTACCCAACTTCAGTGTCGAAAGTAGAGGGTGCAAATCTTTGAGAGCAGTCTGGGGAATGTTCCCAAACTCCTCCAAAGAACAAGGAGGAGTTCTTTGGGTATTTTAATGTGAAACAAACATAGGTTGGTCTCCAGGAGGCCTAGCTGGAAGGTTGGTAGTATTTGTACATTTTGAGAGAATCCAAGTTTTGGAAAATTTCAGATGAAGGATCACATACTGCTTCGTTTCTTTTCTTGTGAAGAAAGATTGTTCCCCCGCTCTGTTGGAGGTGATGACTACTGTACAGCATCTCAGGAAGCACCGAGGTGAAGGGAGAGACTGCCCCGCTTCCGCACGCTAGCCAGCTTGCTCCCCAAAGTGAAGTCCTAGTCGAACAGCAAAATCCTGATGCAAAATGCATTTGATTACTGCTGGTACGGGCAGGGGTATATTCTACTTAGGGTGATCTGGAAGAATTTATGTGGATTCAGTATGTTCTCCATCAAGATGATTCAGCCAGTCATTTCTACAGTGAAGAGTCTTCTTAAACTTCCTTTACAGGCTCATAGAAAACTGGATCCCAGGCTGTTAATCCTAATAAGCATAGTAGAAATTAGCTTTCTATGGGAATGCTTTATGTTTTCATAGTTGACAGGCTCATATTCAATCCTCATGTGAACAACATAAAGGTAAACACAATGACAATATACTGCTAGTCAGAGGACCATGTCGGTTACACCTAAAATGGGTGATTTCTCATCAGTAAGTATTAATGAATAAAATATGAGATGCTTAAGATAAAATGTTGCTCTATAATAGTTTGCTTTTGAAGGATGGAGTGGTAGCTGTTTTTTTCCCATCCTAGCTTTTGAGAGAAGAAAGTATGTTAAATGATCATCTTGAAAGTACCTTTCTGATCACACATTGATTGGAGTGCTTTTTTTGTGTATATGGGCTGATGATGAAATTTGCAAAATGAAGATTCATGACTGGCTCATAGCTTCTCACCTAACTGGATGTTGGATCTTAAGTCCTGTGCCCTTGAAGCAATTCTGCCACTTGATAAAATTCTCAAGGGCCCTGATAGGCCCCGTTAGCAGGACTGATTCTGTTCCTAGAACTTACCTAGAATTCATTCTTCACTGGGAAGAAAAATTACAAAAGCATTTCCCTCCCAATCGCACTCACCAGTCTGCACAATGACATGTAGTGAGTAGTACAAAGTCTGGCCAAAAGACTTGTAAATAGTGTGAAGTGATGTCTTATGACCAAATGGTGGAATGTACAGGTAGAGAAGCTCTCTGACGTTGTCAGATCAGCTCGGCTCACAAGCCTGAGTTTCAAAGGGCGCCCGTCTCTCCTCCACACATTAATACTGTACAGTCCAAACTCCTAGGACTCAACGAACATCCGAGCAGTTTTGTGCTTTGAGCCACTTTTTGACAAGAATGGCTCCATTTTTCCACTCTGTGGTTTTCTTAAACTAGTTCAGTGTTTTATAGTCTCCCGGTAGTAAAGTAGTGTTGCTTTCTAAGCTACAATAAACGGTTGACTTTATTCTTCTACTCTGAAAAATCTTGACTTGTTTGAGTGTATATAGTATATATAAAGGGAGCCTTAATGGATTTGTTTTCATAATTTAATATTTTTTGTATTTGCTCTTGTACAATTGTTTTTAATGGAAAGTATTACAGAATTGAGGGTGGAATTCTTAGAACCAAAGTTATTCTTAATAAAAATCACCACACGCTTGGACCATGAAGCTGTGTCTGTCTAATCTGTTGGAGATGGATGTCTGCACTGAAGGTGGGGGCTCTGTGTTCAGCTCAAGGAGTAGAAGGTGGTTTTCGGGACTCCTTTGGTGACTGTCCTCTTTGACAGCCCCCCACCCCGCCTCAAATTAGTTATGTCTTCTGCCTTGTGTCAGTCAGGCTGACAATTCACTGTGTCAAGCAAATTCATGCCAAGAGATCATGCTACTTTTTGTACAATGTGGTATGTTAGCAGTCGCGGTCAGTCCTTCAGATCAAAGTATTCTGATTTTAGGTTGCTTGGTAGGACTGTGGGAGGTATATTTTGGTAAGGGCCACTTTTTAATGCTGTGAGCTAGTACGTATCTGAAGTGCGACCATGAAATTATTCTACTTATTCAGCTAAGTTAACGTAATCCTCAAAAGGTTACTTTGGGAAACTCTACATGTGATGACATTGTACTATTTGAAATAGTTAATGGAGATTCTGGTCTCTTTGTGCCTTTATTTTCCAGCCCCCAATTATTACTCAGCTTGATGACCCAACTGCTAGTGTCTTTGGACTCTATTTTGAAAATCAGATCTCCTCAGGGCAGTGCAGATTTCCTGCCTCTAAGGGTATACTGTGAGTTCTAAGGGCCAGTGCAGAAGATGGGCTCCAAAATGATTTGTGTGGTAGCTTTTATTCTTGGAATGCAAGCAGGCAGCTTCCCAAGGGGGCAGTTCCAAGGCGGTACTCCATTTTCTGGAGCCACTCTATGCTTGTTTGTTTCTTAGTTAATAGTAATAGATTTGAAAAAAGACAGGGCAATTAAAAAGTGTTTGATAACATTTGAAATGCCAAGTGCACCTAAAAAGTATTAGAATAAAACTGCCAGGCTTGCATTTACTAGTATAATGAGAAATGGAGTGTTTTCTTTCTGTGGTCTTAGGGTAAATAAAATCTTTATGAGGAAGCCTCACAATTACAGTTTCTTCCTTTTTGTTTCCTCTTGAGAAGATGCAGTCTGATTATCAACTGGGGATGTTTTCAACGTCTTCCCACTTGTTCCTAGATATCCTAGCAAGATGATAATTGCCAACCAGAGTTCGGTAAAAAGGACACTTGGTTATTTATTGAGAGTATGCTGATTGCTGCTTGGGTGTTGTTGCTCCCAGGCCCCTCAAGGTTGGGGAATATATCTGTATGTCCATGTAAATATATATTTACACATCTGCATTGATACTTATTTTTATATCTCTAGTTATTTAAAATCATGAGTTCATATTAATACTCTCAAATCTAACCTAATAGTACCTTCTAGCTTTCCTGTTTCCATATTTGTAGCTCCTTTCTCTAGCAGCGAATGCCTCCTCCATGTACTTATTCATTTCCACAACCACCCCCCCCATACCTAACCCACCTCCTGCCTTCGCTCAGTACCATCCCCACTCTGGTCCTGTCTAGTGGCTTTGTGGCTGAATTATCAAGGAAGGAAAGAAGCAAACATGTTTTTCTTGGACATTTAAGCATTTATTGTGAATTTAAACTAATTAAATTCTCTCAAACCTCTTAAACTGCAGATTTAGTATGCCTGACTATTTTGTACCTTTCAAAACTCAAATGGTACGTGAACCATGCTGGATGTGTCAGTTCAGGTTCTCTGGAGAAACAGAGCCAAGAAGAAAGAAGAAAGGTTTAGTGAAAGATACGATTGATTGATAGGTAGACAGACAGACTTAGGAGGAATTGGCTCATGCAGTTATGGAGGCCCACCATCTGCTGTCTGCATCCTGAAGACCCAGGAGAGCCAGCCAGTGGTGTGATTAAGCTTGAGTCTGAAGGTGTTAAGTCTGAGAGCAGGAGACCCCTGTTCCAGCTCAGAAGTCAGGCAGAGAAAGAGAAAGCGAAACCTTTCCTTCCCCTTTTCTGTTCACACAGGCCCTCCGTGAATTGGTTGAGGCGCCCCCCCCCGCCCCTGCTGGGGAGGGCAGCCTACTGAGCCCCTGATCCAAATGCCAGTCTCTCTGGAAACACTCACATGGACACACGCGGAAATAATGTTTAATCTGGGTACACTGTGGCCCAGTCAGGTTGACGCATAAAATTAGCCATCATACTCAAATACAATGGTTAACACAGTATTAGAAATAACTTACATAAACCTATTTTACAAGTCAACTTTTGAGCTTTATGTCCCAAAATTTTTTACTTCAAAAATACTTTTCTATTTATTATGGCTGTATTTATTTTCATATCATCCTAGGGGTTCAGTCATATCTCACTCTTATTTTCTGGGCTTGTAGTAATCTTCTACCAAGCCTAAAAGAAAAGGAATTCCTCAGAATGAGAGCGCCATCGAAGGACAGGGAGCCTGGCCCCACAGTGCAAAGCCGATTGAACCATGAGCCACAGGCCTTGGATTAAGTCTTTTTATAATTACTTCTTACTTGCTTTGTCATGGGATTTGTAATATCTCATTATATATATTACTTTAATTTTTTGGAACTTGGTGTCTTTTCCCAGAAATGAAGTATTCTTTAATTTTGCACGGTCGGCATTGCCTAACTCGTCCTGCCTTTATGATACATTGATCTTGTCTATTAGCATTATTGAAAATTAGATGTGCCTTATCGATATCCTGTAGGATCAGTAGGATTATAATGAGGTTAATTAGTAGGATCATGTTGAGATTTTTGTCTGTAAAGAATCATCAGGTATGTGTGGTGAATTCTTTGAGACATTTGGCTATTATCTTGGGCATACTATTCTATTTAAATTTGTTACTGGGTCTCATCAGTGACTCCTTTTCTACTTGGTTATTATATGTGACATGTGACCGCTGATGACAATCAGTCTTCCTTCTTCTTGTACTACTTTTTCGAGTTTCCTCTATTCTTTCCTGTATAGATAGATAGAAATAAGCACATGCCTGTGCTTTATGAAAATATGTATTCTTAGAACAAAATACTCTCATATATAATATCCATCCTTAGTTTGTATTAAGATTCATTTTTCTCTTTTGGGTATCATGAATCTGGCCTTTTGTAGATTCAGCTTCTTAGAATTTTTATCTCCCTTTTTTTTTTGGATGCTCAGAATTTTGTAACTTGGCTAGTGGCAGCCCCTCAAGGTTATTCCTATGTTTTCTGAGTTTTATAAAATATTGCTTCTGATAAGAAAGCATCCTTACTTTGTTACAACAGTAGGATGTTTCAGACCATCTTAATTTCTTTTTCCTGACATGAGACATACATGTGCCTTTCAAGGAGTCCTGGTTCCTCTTGATGCAGAATGGAACATGGGGATCACCATCTGGCATGAGGGGTGCACAGGAGAGTTAGTGGACAAAAGTGCTACTGCACTTTTAGTAGTGATAGATCTAGAGGATGTGAAGTCACCCTGGGTTTTCCATTTTAACCCTTTAGGTGGTTCTATCATTTTTCTTAACAGTATGAGTCTCCTTGAACCAAAAACCTTTCCATTACACTTAGATTTACAGAGATATTTTCCTTTAAGAATTAAGAAAGCGGGGGGCCTGGGTGGCTCAGTTGGTTAAGTGTCTGCCTTTGGCTCAGGTCATGATCCCGGGGTCCTGGGATCGAGCCCTGCATCTGGCTCCCTGCTCTGCAGGGAGTCAGCTTCTCCCTCTGCCCCTCCCCCCACCTGGTCATGCTCTCACGCTCTCTCTCAAATAAAATCATTTAAAAAAAATAATTATGAAAGGGGACTTGCCTGCCTAAATGTCAAAACACACTTTTAAGCAACAGTAATTTGGGCAGATACTGCCCCAGAGCAGACAGATAGATCAATGGAACAGAATAGAAAGCCTAAAAGGAGACTCATTTACATACTGAAGTTTACTTTATGATTGAGGCAGAATTTTATTTCAAATCAGTTAGGAAAAGATAAACAATTCAGTGAAAAGTGTTGGGGCCATTGGAACCAAACAAATACGTATTCCTCTATCTAACACCATATGTAAGACTGATGGCCAAATTTATTAAGGTGTTCACATAAAAATAAAACTAGAATTCTGAGAATAGGAGGGGCTTTCCTAATCAAGACATCTAACCCAAAATCTATAATCAAGAAAACTGGCAAATACAGCTGGTGAAAATGAAACATTTTTGTACAAAAAAATATTTTTAAGGGTCAAAAGGCAAGTAACTCAGATATACTGCATGTACAGCAGCAAATGAATAATGCCTGTGTTACATACATGTCTGCAAATGTCAATCCAATAAAAAATGAACAAATAGGTAACAGTTAATAAGAGAAATACGAATGGCCCATCAACATATGGAGAGATGCTCTAGTGTCACTAGAATCAGCAAAAGGCAAATTAAAATGAGACAGTTTTATATAAATACAAAGCAAAACTCAAATAGATTAATAATCGCTATTATTGGTGAGGGTGTGGAGCAATAGGTGCTATTAAGTAGACACCTTTGGTGGGAGCACAAATTGGTAAAGCCAACTTTAAGACACACATGCCTTCACACCCTCTAGAATGAAGATAATCAAAAAGACAGGTGTTGACTAGGATTCTGGTGAGAACATAACACTGTGCAGCCACTTTGGAAAAGTCTGGGAGTTTCTGAGAATGTCAAACATAGGTCTATCATGACACAGCAATTCTGCTTCTAAGTATATGCCCCAAAAAACAAAGTCTTGCACACAAATGTTCATAGCAGCATTATTCATAGTGGCTAAAAAGCAGAAATGACCCAAATGTCTAGCAACTGGTTGGTGGATAAGCAACTGGTTGGTGTATCCCTATAGTGGAATATTACTGAGCAATAAAAAGGAAGAAAGTACTGATACATGGATAAACCTCAAAAACATCACGCTAAGTGAAAAAAGGCAAACACGAAGGACCATACAGTGTATGGTTACATTTATATGCAATATCCATAATAGATACAGGAAGTACCATAATGATTGCCTAGGGCAGGGGGTGGGTATGGTGGGAATGGGGAGTAACTGCAAATGGGCATAGGGTGTTTTGGGGTGATGGAAAGATTTAAA